AAACACTCACAACATCACCCACAACCAACAACCCCACAACACACAACACCCACAACACCGACAACAACAACACCCACAACAACACCCCAACACAACACCCACAACCCACAACACCCACAACAACAACACTAACATCCCACAACACCCACAACAACACCCACAACACCCACAACACCCCACAACAACAGCACGCACAACACACAACACCCACAAAACCCACAATCACAACCCCACAACACAAACACAACAACACCCACAACCCATATACCACAACACCACAACCCACAACCCACAACAACAACACCCACAACAACAACACCCACACAACACCACAACACCCAAAACCCACCAACACCCACAACAACAACACCCACAACCAACAACACCCACAACAACACCCCCAAACAACAACACCCACAACACCTCACAACCACCACACAAACCCACAACACCCACAACAACAACACCCACAACAACAACACCCACAACCCACAACACCCACACACCACAACAACCCACAACCAACACACACACCCACAACACCACCACAACAACACCACAACAACACCCACAGCCCTCAACAACACCCACAACAACAACACCCACAACAACACACCACAACACCACAACACCCACAACAACACCTCACAACAACACCCACAACCCTCACACCCACAACAACAACACCCACAACACAACACCCACAAAAACAAACACCCACAACAACACACCCACAACACAACACCCACAACACAACACCCACAACAACACCCACAACAACAACACCACAAACAACACCCACAACAACACCCACAAACCCCAAACACCCACAACAACAACACCCACAACCCACAACACCCACAACAACAACACCCAAAACAACACCCACAACAACAACTCACAACCCACAACACCCACAACAACACCCCAACAACACCCACAATCACCCACAACAACAACACCCACAACAACCAACACCCACAAACCCCAACAACCCACAACACCCACAACAACACCCGCAACAACAACACCCACAACCCACAACACCCACAACAACAACACTAACATCCCACAACACCAACAACACCCACAACAACACCCACAACACCCACAACAACAGCACCCCACAACCCACAACACCCACAACACCCACAACACCCACAACACTCACAACACCCACAACACCCACAACAACAACACCCACAACAGCAACACCCACAACAACAACACCCACAACAACAACACCCACAACAACAACACCCACAACCCACAACACCCACAACAACAACACCCACAAACCACAACACCCACAACAACAACACCCACAACACCCACAACAACACTCACAACCCACAACACCCACAACAACACCCACAACAACACTCACAACAACAACACCCACAACAACAACACGCACAACACACAACACCCACAACACCAACAACAGCAACACCCACAACACCCACAACACCCACAACACCCACAACAACAACACCCACAACAACAACACCCACAACACTCACAACACCCACAACCCGCAACGACAACACCCACAACCCACAACAACCAGTAAACACAGGTGGGGTGACGTCATGCATGTCAGGAAATTACTTGTTTAGACCTGCATGAGGAGGACCAAAAAATTTGATCCAAGGAAGTGGAGAGTAGCTCAGATCTTTGTATTATGGATATCGAGAAAAGTTGATCCGAGGAAGTGGAGGGTATGTCAAATCTTTGTATTATTAATATCTACAAAATGTTGATCCAAGGAGATGGAGCAGGAATATTGAGTTTAGAAAGTGATGCTGAGAGGGTGATCTTGATCCGAGGAGGTGAAGCAGGGATTTTGGGATGGGGTTGGAAGTGGGAGGTGTGGGTGAGAGAGAGGTGTTGATCCGAGGAGGTGGAGACTACAAGAAAATGGAATTTTTGGGGGGAGATGAAGAGGGTGATCTTGATCCAAGGAGATGGGGCAGGAATATTGGGGATTAGAGGGTGGTGGTGGTGATCTTGATCCGAGGAGATGGAGAATACAAGAAAATGGAAATTTTGGGGGAGATGGAGGTCTTGATCCAAGGAAGTGGAGCAGGAATATTGGGTTTAGAGTGTATGGGAGATGGAAGTGGGTGGTGGGAGGTCTTCCCATAGGGGTGCCCATAGGGGGGACCTCAAAACTTGATCCAAGGAGATGGAGAATACAAGAAAATGGAAATTTTGGGGGGAGATGGTGGAGGTCTTGATCCATGGAAGTGGAACAGGGCAGTGACGTCATGGTTGATTATCACGTGATGTCAGTTACTTGTTTAGACCTGTATTATTTAAGATAAGGTACCATTGTTGGGGGGAGATCATGCCCCATAGGGGGAGACCATTTTGAATGCTTACCCCCATATGGAGGATCTCAAAACTTAATCCGAGGAAGTGGAGGGGAAATCTTTGTATTATTGATATTGAGAAAAAGTTGATCCAAGGAGACGGAGGTGTTGATCCGAGGAAGTGGAGAATATAAAAAAATGGAAAAAAATCGAAAATGTTTGGGGAGGAGAGGGGGTCTTGGTCCAAGGAGCTGGAGCAGGAATATTTGGGTATAGAGGGTATGGGAGATGGAAGTGGGTGGTGAGAGGTGGGGGGGGATGGAGGGTAAATCTTGATCCAAGGAGATGGGGAGCATAAGACAACGAAATTAAAACAAAAATCGAAAAAAAATCGGAAAAAATTCGAGGATCGGGGGCGATCCGGGCGACGCTGCAGAAGGTGCTGCAGGGGCGGCGCGAGTCGGTGCAGGTGTGGGTGGGCGCGGGAGCGGGCGCGGGCGTGCGGGCACGCGGGCGCAGCGCCAGGCCGGAAGGGTCATTATCCCTCAGGTGCGATTTTTCACACCTAGGTGTGAAAAGGCGGCATCGTTTGAGAGACCGCTGAGCCGCGTTCTATACCACTGTGGTAGGTATGGTGGTATTAGTAGTAGTAGTGGTGGTGGTTATGGTGGTATTAGTAGAAGTAGTGGTGGTGGTTATGGTGGTATTAGTAGTAGTAGTGGTGGTGATGGTTGTAATAGTAGTAATAGCAGTAGTAGTAGTAGTGGTGGTGGTTATGGTGCTATTAGTAGTAGTAGTGGTGGTGTTTTGGTGGTAGTGTAGTGGTGGTAGTTATGTTGTATAGTAGTAGTAGATGGTGGTTATGGTGGTAATAGTAGTAATAGTAGTAGTGGTGGTGGTGGTGGTTATGGTGGTATTAGTAGTAATAGTAGCAGTAGTGGTGGTGGTGGTGGTTGTGATGGTATTAGTAGTAGTAGTGGTGGTGGTTATGGTGGTATTAGTAGAAATAGTAGTAGTACTGGTGGTGCTTATGGTGGTATTATGGTAGCAGTGATGGTGGTTATGGTGGTATTAGTAGTAGTGGTGGTGGAGGTTGTGGTGGTGGTTATGGTGGCATTAGTAGTAGTAGTAGTGGTGGTGGTTATGGTGGTATTAGTAGTAGTAGTGGTGGTGGTGGTTATCGTGTTACTAGTAGTAATAATAGTAGTGGTGGTGGTGGTGATGGGGGTATTAGTAGTAGTAGTAGTGGTGGTGGTTATGGTGTTATTAGTAGTAATAGTAGTAGTGGTGGTGGTGATTATGGTGGTATTAGTAGTAATAGTAGTAGTGGTGGTGGTGGTGGTGGTTATGGTGGTATTAGTAGTAGTAGTAGTAGTAGTACTGGTGGTAGTTATCGTGGTATTAGTAGTATCAGCAGTAGTGATGGTGGTGGTTATGGTGGTATTAATAGTAGTAGTAATAGTACTGGTGGTAGTTATGGTGGTATTAGTAGTATCAGTAGTAGTGGTGGTGGTGGTTATGGTGGTATTACTAGTAGTAGTGGTGGTGGTTATGGTGGTATTAGTAGTAATAGTAGTAGTAGTGGTGGTGGTTATGGTGGTAATAGTAGTAACAGTAGTGGTAGTGGTGGTGGTTCTGGTGGTATTAGTAGTAATAGTAGTAGTGGTGGTGGTGGTGGTGGTTATGGTGGTATTAGTAGTAGTAGTAGTAGTAGTAGTACTGGTGGTAGTTATCGTGGTATTAGTAGTATCAGCAGTAGTGATGGTGGTGGTTATGGTGGTATTAGTAGTAGTAGTAATAGTACTGGTGGTAGTTATGGTGGTATTAGTAGTATCAGTAGTAGTGGTGGTGGTGGTTATGGTGGTATTACTAGTAGTAGTGGTGGTGATGGTGGTATTAGTAGTAATAGTAGTAGTAGTGGTGGTGGTTATGGTGGTAATAGTAGTAACAGTAGTGGTAGTGGTGGTGGTTCTGGTGGTATTAGTAGTAATAGTAGTAGTAGTAGTGGTGGCAGTTATGGTGGTAATAGTAGTAATACTAGTGGTAGTGGTAGTGGTTATGGTAGTAATAGTAGTAATAGTAGTAGTTGTGGTGGTTATGGTGGTATTAGTAGTAACAGTAATAGTGATGGTGGTGGTTATGGTGGTATTAGTAGTAACAGTAACAGTGGTGGTGGTGGTTATCGCGGTATTAGTAGTAGAATTGGTGGTGGTAGTTATGGTGAAAATAGTAATAATAGTAGTAGTGGGGTTATGGTGGTATTAGTAGTAGTAGTAGTGGTGGTTGTTATGGTGGTATTAGTAGTAGTAGTGGTGGTGGTTTTGATGGTAATAGTAGTAATAGTAGTGGTAGTGGTAGTGGTTATGGTGGTAATATTAGTAATAGTAGTAGTAGTGGTGGTGGTGGTTCTGGTGGTAATAGTAACAGTAGTAGTAGTGGTAGTGGTTATGGAGGTAATAGTAGTAATAGTAGTGGTAGTTGTGGTGGTTATGGTGGTATTAGTAGTAACAGTAGTAGTAGTGGTGTTGGTTATGGTGGTAATAGTAGTAATAGTAGTAGTTGTTCTAGTTGCAATGGTAATAATAGTACTAGTATATTCATGGGGAAGCAGTAAACCTGTAGGAATTATTGAATGCCTGAGGAATAAGTGGCCATCATATTAATAACTCTTTCCGTGTTCACCAGGTGATTGAGACGGTGGGAGCCTTGGTGATCTCTGGTCTCCTGGCATCGGTGGTCTACCTCACCGTGGAGGCTCCCATCATTGGTCTGGAAAGATGCTTACTCACACCACCTGGTGAGTGATGTGTGTACTCACCTAACTGTACTCACCTAATTGTGTTTGCAGGGGTTGATTCATAGCTCTTGGCCGCGCCTCTTCACTGGTTGCTACTAGGTCACTCCCTGCTCCCTGAGCTTTATCATACCTCTTCTTAAAGTTATATATATGGATCCTGCCTCCACCACCTCCCTTTCCAGACTATTCCACTTCCTAACAACTCTGTGACTGAAGAAATACTTACTAACATCCCTGTGACTCATCTGAGTCTTCAGCTTTCAATTATGACCCTTTGGTGTGTCCCATCTCTGAAATATTCTGTCCCTGTCCACCCTGTTGATTCCTCTCAGTATTTTATATGTTGTTATCATGTGTCTCCTGTCCCTCCTGTCCTCCGGTGTCGTCAGATCAATTTCTCTTAACCTCTCCTCGTAAGACATGCCCCTTAGTTCCGGGACTAGTCTTGTTGCAAAATTTTTCACTTTCTATAATTTCTTGACATGCTTGGCCAGGTGTGGGTTCCAAATTGGTGCTGCATACTCTAATATGGGGCTAATGTACGCGGTATACAGAGTTCTGAACGATTCCTTACTGAGATGTCGGAATGCTATTTTTAGGTTTGCTAGTCGCCCGTATATAGCAGTAGTTATTTGGTTGATGTGTGCCTCAGGAGATGTGTTCGGTGTTATACTCACTCCAAGATGTTTTTCCTTGAGTGAAGTTGTGTGTGTGTGTGTGTGTGTGTGTGTGTGTGTGTGTGTGTGTGTGTGTTGTTGTGTATTTTGTATATATTATAATATATATATATATGTGTGTGTGTGTGTGTGTGTGTACTCACCTATTTGTACTCACCTATTTGTGGTTGCAGGGGTCGAGTCCTAGCTCCTGGCCCCGCCTCTTCACCGGTTGCTACTAGACCCCCTCTCTCCCCGCTCCATGAGCTTTATCAAACCTCGTCTTAAAACTGTGTATGGTTCCTGCCTCCACTACGTCATTTTCTAGGCTATTCGACTGCCTTACAACTCTATGACTGAAGAAATACTTCCTACTATCTCTCTGACTCATTTGTGTCTTCAACTTCCAATTGTGGCCTCTTGTTTCTGTGTCCCCTCCCTGGAACATCCTGTCCTTGTCCACCTTGTCTATTCCACGCAGTATTTTATATGTCGTTATCATGTCTCCCCTGACCCTCCTGTCCTCCAGTGTCGTCAGGCCGATTTCCCTTAATCTTTCTTCATAGGACATTCCCTTAGCTCTGGAACTAACCTTGTTGCAAACCTTTGTACTTTCTCTAGTTTCTTGACGTGCTTTATCAAGTGCGGGTTCCAAACAGGTGCTGCATACTCCAGTATGGGCCTGACATACACGGTGTACAGTGTCTTGAATGATTCCTTACTAAGGTGTCGGAATGCTGTTCTCAGGTTTGCCAGGCGCCCATATGCTGCAGCAGTTATCTGATTGATGTGTGCTTCCGGAGACATGCTCGGTGTTATACTCACCCCAAGATCTTTCTCCTTGAGTGAGGTTTGCAGTCTTTGGCCACCTAGCCTATACTCTGTCTGTGGTCTTCTGTGCCCTTCCCCTATCTTCATGACTTTGCATTTGGCAGGATTAAATTCGAGAAGCCATTTGCTGGACCAGGTGTCCAGTCTGTCCAGGTCTCTTTGAAGTCCTGCCTGGTCCTCATCAGATTTAATTCTCCTCATTAACTTCACATCATCTGCAAACAGGGACACTTCTGAGTCTAACCCTTCCGTCATGTCGTTCACATATACCAAAAATAGCACTGGTCCTAGGACCGACCCCGGGTGGGACCCCGCTCGTCACAGGTGCCCACTGTGATACATCATTACGTACCATGACTCGTTGTTGCCTCCCTGTCAGGTATTCTCTGATCCATTGCAGTGCCCTTCCTGTTATATGCGCCTGATGCTCTAGCTTCTGCACTAATCTCTTGTGAGGAACTGTGTCAAAGGCCTTCTTGCAGTCCAAGAAGATGCAATCAACCCCCCCCTCTCTCTCTTGTCTTACTTCTGTTATTTTATCATAAAACTCCAGAAGGTTTGTGACACAGGATTTGCCTTCCGTGAATCCGTGCTGGTTGGCATTTATACTCCTGTTCCGTTCCAGGTGCTCCACCACTCTCCTCCTGATAATCTTCTCCATAATTTTGCATACTATACACGTCAATGACACAGGTCTATAGTTTAGTGCCTCTTTTCTGTCTCCTTTTTTGAAAATGGGAACTACATTTGCTGTCTTCCATACCTCAGGTAGTTGCCCAGTTTCCAGGGATGTGTTGAAGATTGTGGTAAGTGGTACGCACAACATATCTGCTCCCTCTCTAAGGACCCATGGAGAGATGTTGTCCGGTCCCATTGCCTTTGAGGTATCGATGTCCCTTAGCAGTTTCTTCACCTCCTCCTCATCTGTATGTATGTCGTCCAACACTTGTTGGTGTATTCCTTGTTGGTGTCCCCATCTGGTCTGTCCCCCCAGAGTCCTTCCTGTCTCTACTGTAAATACTTCCTTAAATCTCGTGTTGAGCTCCTCACATACCTCTTGATCGTTTCTTGTGAGTTCTCCACCTTCTTTCCTCAGCCTTATCACCTGGTCCTTGACTGTTGTCTTCTTCCTAATGTGGCTATACAGCAGTTTCGGGTCAGATTTGACTTTCGATGCTATGTCGTTTTCATACTGTCGCTGGGCCTCCCTCCTTATCTGCGCATACTCGTTTCTGGCTCTTCTACTAACCTCCTTGTTTTCCTGGGTCCTATGCCTCCTGTACCTTTTCCATTCTCTGTTGCACTTAGCTTTTGCCTCTTTACACCTTCGGGTAAACCAAGGACTCGTCTTGGTCTTCCTATTATTTCTGTTTCCCTTGGGAACAAAACTTTCCTCTGCCTCCTTGCACTTTGTTGCCACATATTCCATCATCTCGTTTACTGATTTTCCTACCATTTCTCTGTCCCACTGAACCTCCTGCAGGAAGTTTCTCATACCTGTGTAGTCCCCCCTTTTATAGTTTGGCCTGTCCCCTTCAGTTCCTGTTACCTTCTCCACTTGTAACTCTACTATATAGTCAAAACTCAGAACCACATGATCGCTAGCTCCAAGGGGCCTCTCGTAAGTGATGTCCTCGATGTCTGAACTGCTCAGGGTGAACACAAGATCCAGTCTTGCTGGCTCATCCTCCCCTCTCTCTCTGGTTGTGTCCCTGACATGTTGATGCATGAGGTTTTCAAGTACCACATCCATCATCTTGGCTCTCCATGTTTCGGGACCCCCATGTGGCTCCAGGTTTTCCCAGTCGATCTCCCTGTGGTTGAAATCGCCCATTACCAGTAACTTTGCTCTGCTCGAGTGTGTATGTGTGTGTGTGTATGTGTGTGTGTGTGTGTGTGTGTGTGTGTGTGTGTGTGTGTGTGTGTGTGTGTGTGTGTGTGTGTGTACTCACCTAATTGTGGTTGCAGGGGTCGATACTCAGCTCCTGGCCCCGCCTCTTCACTGATCGCTGCTAGGTCCTCTCTCTCCCTGCTCCACGAGCTTTATCATACCTCATCTTAAAGCTATGTATGGTTCCTGCCTCCACTACCTCACTTGCTAGACTTTTCCACTTCCTGACTACTCTATGACTAAAGAAATACTTCCTAACATCCCTTTGACTCATCTGAGTCTTCAGCTTCCAATTGTGACCCCTTGTTTCTGTGTCCCCTCCCTGGAACATCCTGTCTCTGTCCACCTTGTCTATTCCATGCAGTATTTTGTATGTCGTTATCAAGTCTCCCTTAACCCTCATGTCCTCCAGTGTCGTCATGCCGATTTCCCTTAACCTATCTTCGTAGGACAATACCCTATGTGTGTGTGCGTGTGTGTGTGTGTGTGTGTGTGTGTGTGTGTGTGTGTGTGTGTGTGTGTGTGTGTGTGTGTGTGTGTGTGTGTGTGTGTTTTAGTGTGTTGCTTGACCAAGTGTGGGTTCCATTCTGGTGCTGAATGCTCCTATATGGGCCTGACGTACACGGTGTATAGTGTCGTGAGCGACTCCTTTCTTAGATGTCGAAAAGCTATTCTAAGGTTTGCCAGATGCACATGTACTGCAACAGTTATTTCGTTGATGTGCGCCTCAGGAATTATGTTCGGTATGATACTCACCCTAAGGTCCTTCTTGGGTGAGGTTTACAGCCTTTGCCTCCTCCCCTGCCCCCGAGTGTGTGCTCCGTCGTCTTTGTTCTTCCCCAAGCTTCTTAATTTTGCCCTTGCTGGGATTAAACTCCAGAAGACATTTGTCAGCCCATGCCTTCATCCCATCCAGGCAATCTGTAACCTTTCTGGTTCTCGATCGTTTGTATTATCCTCATTATTTTCACGTCGTCGGAGAATAGGGATACCTCTGACTGTATCACTTCTGTTGTCTTTCACGTATACAAGAAACAGCACCAGACCTAGGACTGATCCTTGTCGAACTCCTCTCGTCACATGCACCTATTCCGACACCTCATCCTGGACCATCACTCCTTGTTTATTTATTTATTTATTTATTTCCAATTTGTGCACACATACAGAGGTACAAAAAAATACAGATAAGAGCAGTATGCCAAAGCCACTTATACTATGCATAGCATTACGGGCTGGCTTAAAATTAACTTAAGATTAACTAAGCAATGATTATTATTATTATTATAATCAAAAAGAAGCTCTAAGCCACAAGGACTATACAGCGCTGCTACTAAGCAATGATGAAATCAGTGATAAAACATTAATGTAAACAGATAACTATAAAGCACAAGTGAGTATTACAAAGACAGGTCATATGGTTGCATTCAGTTAGGTAGTGATTCTGTTAGGTAGTGTATTTAAAAAATAATAAAGTTAGATTGGGTTTTAGGTTTAACATTTATGTGATATAATTGTGAGAAACATTTAAGATATACAATTTATAATGTTCAGTTATTCATATTTATTTGGTTTTGGGTGAGTAAGTAATCTTTGAGAAGAGACTTGAATTTATAAACAGGTTGTGTTTCTTTTATATTTACAGGTAATGAATTCCAGATTTTAGGGCCTTTTATGTGCATTGAGTTTTTGCATAGTGTGAGATGGACACGAGGAACATCAAAGAGTGATCTGTGCCTTGTGTTATGGTCATGTGTTCTGTTGAGGTTGGCAAGGAGATGTTTGAGGGGAGGGTTAATATCAGAGTTAAGTGTTCTATGTATGTAATAGGTGCAGTAATAAGTATGGATGTTTTGTATGGTGAGTAGGTTTAGTGTATTGAATATTGGTGGAGGTGTGCTGCCTGTAGTGAGAATTTGTTATCATTCTAACTGCAGCCTTTTGTTGGGTAATTAGTGGTCTGAGATGGTTAATTGTTGTTGAGCCCCATGCACAAATTCCATAGGTGAGATAGGGGTAAATAAGAGAGTGATATAGGGCCAGGAGGGCTGACTGTGGAACATAGTACCGTATCTTCGATAGTATGCCTACAGTCTTGGAAATTTTCTTAGAAATTTGATGTATATGTGTATGAAATTTGAGTCTATTATCAAGGTGGATTCCTAAGAATTTTCCCTCTGTTAGTTTTGTGATAGGTGATCCATTTATCATTATGTTAAGAGGGACATCTGTAGCTCTGTTACCAAACTGAATGAAGTAGGTTTTGTCAATGTTTAGTGTAAGTTTGTTAGTCCTCATCCAGGTAGATATTTTCTGTAATTCGGTATTTACAGTATTGGCTAGCGTGACTGGGCTCGGGTGAGAGAAGACGTATGTAGTGTTATCTGCAAATAGTGTGGGTTTGAGTAATTGCGAAGCATTTGGAAGGTCATTTATGTATAGGAGAAAGAGAAGAGGGCCAAGGACACTTCCCTGTGGGACACCAACTGTAATTGGTTGTGCAGAAGAGTTTGCCCCATTTGCGTACACATATTGGCTTCTGTTGCTGAGGTAAGACTTGAGGTAGTTGAGGGAGTGCCCTCTTATACCATAGTGTGACAATTTTACGTGGAGCAAGTCATGGTCAACTGTATCAAAAGCTTTACGTAAGTCAATGAAGATCCCCAGTGGGACTTCTTTTTTCTCTATTGCAGTGTATATATGTTCTAGCATGTGTATAATAGCATCATTAGTATTTTTATTAGGCCTGAATCCAAATTGGCAGGGGTTGAGTATGTTTTGGGAGATAAGGTAGGAGTAGATTCGTTTATGAATTAATTTTTCGAAGATTTTTGAGAGAGGGTGTAAGTTGGATATTGGCCTATAGTTATTCAACTCTGTTTGGTCTCCTCCTTTGTGGATCGGGGTGACCCTTGCTATTTTGAGTACTGTAGGGAAGGTGGAGGATTCAATGGATTTGTTAAAGAGTGTTGCAATGATTGGTGATAGCACTTGTGACACTTTTTTGTATATAAGGGGTGGTAAGGTATTTAAATTTAAATCTCCTGCCTTGTTTTTTAGTGCGTTGATAATAAGGGAGACTTCGTATGGGTTAGTCGGAGCTAGGAACAGTGTGTTCGGGTAGTTGCCGGTGAGGTAGTCATTTGGTGGGGTATCTGAGCTTGGGATTTTATTGGCAAGGTTTTGTCCTATAGTGGAGAAGAAATCATTGAGTCTGTTTGCTGTTTCTGTTGGTGGGAGTTGGGGTTCATCTGTTTTTGCTAATTTTATTTCGCTATTTCGTGATATCTTTTTTGTTCCTAGAATTTCTGATAGGGTTTTCCAGGTCTTTTTTATATCACCTCGTAAGTTGGATAATCTGTTCTCATAATACAATTTTTTTGCCCTTCTTATCAGGCTGGTTAGGATTGACGAGTAACGTTTTGTTTGGTCTCTGGTTATGTGACCCATTCTGTACTGTTTTTCATATTGGTGTTTTGTATTTTATGGATTTGAGAATGCTGGGTGTTAGCCAGGGACTGTTCAGTCTCTTTGCTGTCATCTGTTTAGTTTTTTTTAGGGCAGTGCTTGTTATAGAGGTATTGGGTTTTTTTTAGAAAATTATTAATACATTCGTCAATATCTGTATAGGTTTCTAGCTCAGTGTGCCAATCAATGTTTGCTATTGCTGTTGTGAAGTTATTAATGGCTGCCTCATTGTGAAGTCTGAAGGTGACTTTAGTAGTGTCTTGGGGTAGTTTACCAAGAGTTATGAGGAAAGTAGGGTAGTGGTCTGTGGTATTATCTGTAATTATGCCTGATTTTAAAGGGGATATGGTGTTGGTCCAGATGTGGTCAAGTAGGGAAACACTAGTCTCTGTAACTCTTGTAGGTTTTGTTACTGTTGGTAGTAACATACAGTTACTCATTGTGTTTGTGAATTCAGTAACGTGTTTCTTTCCTGTCATTGTATTGCTCTTCCTGCCTGTTCCTTTAGCTTTTGTACCACTCTCTTGTGCGGTACTGTCTCAAAAGCCTTCTCACAGTCCAAAACAAATGTAATCTACCCATTCTCTCTCTCTCTCTCTCTCTCTCTCTCTCTCTCTCTCTCTCTCTCTCTCTCCTCTCTCTCTCTCTCCTCTCTCTCTCTCCTCTCTCTCGCCTTTCTGGTTGCTCCACCACTCTTCTGATAATATTCTCCACAACTTTACATACTATACATGTCGGTAATACTGGTATGTAGTTTAATGCTGCTTGCCTGTTTCATTTCTTAAAAGCTGGGATTACATTTGTCTTCTCACCTCCGGCAGTTGCTGTGTCGATAGACTTGTTGAAGATTATTGCTAGCAGTACACACAAGTGTCTCTGCTCATTCTCTCAGGACCCACAGATAGATACTATTTGGTCTCACCGCCTTCAAGGTACCTATAATAATAATAATAATAAATTATCTTTATTTCTACAAGTACATGTACAAGGTATACAGTCCTAGCTGACATCAGTGACATACTACTGTACAGAAAGCCGCTTGTTATGCAGAGCAATTCGGGCAAGTTATGTCATTTTTTTTTGTCCCAGGATGCGACCCACACCAGTCAACTAACACCCAGGTACCCATTTTACTGATGGGTGAACAGAGGCAACCGGTGTAAGGACACACGCCCAGTGTTTCAACCCTCGCCGGGAATCAAACCCGGACATTTAGTGCGTGAAGCGAGAACTTTTTGCCACCAGGCTACGGGTTACCAAGCTCACATAGCAGCTTCTTCACCTCCTTCCCTGTTGTGTATTGCATCCAACGCTTGCTGTTGCACTCTTCTTCTTCCATTTGTTGATAGCCTTTCTGTCTCTGAAAATACCTCCCAAAATCTCATGCTGAGCTCCTCACGAACTTCCTGTCATGCTTATGAGCTCCCCACCTTCCTTTTTTTTTTAGCTTGATTACCTGATCCTTGGTTGTTGTCTTCCTCCTAATGTTGCTATATAATAACTTCGGGTCGGATTTGGTTCTCATTCCTATGTCATTCTCAAATTACTCGTTTCTGGCTTTTCGGCTCAACTCCTTGCTCTCCTGAGTGTGAATGAGCATGTTGTGTGTGTGTGCATGTGGAAACTGTCCAGTAAAAGTAGGTCTTAGACAAAGATGTATAATGTCGGCGTAACTGTTCAATTAATTTAGAGTTGGGGTTTTAACAGGCGTGAAGGCTTGGGTGTAGAGAGACGTAGAATAAAAATTATGGTGGAGGAGTTTGAAAGGGTATCTGGACTAAGTAATTTACACGTTAACTTAGGAAAGAGCAAAGTGGTAAGAGTAACAAAACATTAGGTAATGAAGTACTAGAAATCAGACTGGAAGGAGGAAGAGAGTGTAGTTTAGTGTTGGTGAATGGAAGTGTCGGCTGCAGATAGGCTGATAAAAGACGAGGGGGGGGGGGAATGTTAGATGATGTACCGAGGCATATGTAGAAAGAAAGTTTATTAGGGCAAAACAGGAATATATAAGGGTATAATCAACATTTTTATATGGTTGTGAAGCATGGTCTTCAAGCATAGCAACGAGGATGAGGCTGGAGGAAGTAGAGATGTAATTTTTCTCAACAATGTGTAGTGTAAATATCGTGCAGAGAATGTGGAGTGTAGAAATTAGAAGACGTGTGGGGATCACAAAAGATATAATTCAAAGGTTGAAAGATTGTTGAAGTAGTTTAGTCATTTAGAAAATATGAAGCAAAATAGAATGGCTAGGATTAAAGCCTTCTTGGTTTCAATGAACAGGTGAATTTTGGTTTTAATGTCCTTAAACCTATAAAACTAATATACTTCTTAATTTACCCGTGGGCAGACCGTACTCGCAAGACCCCAGAAGACGAGTCTACACTCTCAGGACAAGACAACTTGGCGTTTAAGACTGAGACAGAAGACTCAGTTGGTGTTAATACTGACCTTGGTTCACCGGACGAAGTCTAAGATAAACTAAAAATAACTCAGTTTCGAGTATAAAAGTATAATAGCTAGTAGCAACCTTGCAACATTCACTCAGCAGTGTACAATTATGTAAACAAAAATACTTGAATAAAGTTACGAATTTCAGTAAGACTCATATTGCATTTTTATTTCCGAGAAAACTATGCATGGACATGGCTGATTAAAACAAACAATAATTAAAGCTGTAACTTTATTAACCGAAACAAAAAGTACATGATACAACACAGGTCAGAATAAACTTTACAAGAACAAATCAATCACCGTGATAGTTTTACTGCCATACTCCATCACACAGTATGTTTTTCTATCATACTCCATCACACAGGATGTTTTTCTATCATACTCCATCACACAGGATAGATGTCACACTTAAGATAATGCAGTCTGTCAGCCTGAGCTGGCAAACTTGATCATAGTGCTGAGGATATCTGGGTTCAACAGTTACGACAGCTTCGAAGGTTTCTTTCAACAGGGCTGAAGTCACGTATATATCCTTCGATATATATACACCTCACCATGTATATACCAAAGGGTATATACTTCGGTATATACACCTCTGTGTATATACCGAGGTGTGTATCTCAGTGTATATAAGCTGAGAATGGTGATGGTGCACAGGACACGCAGTGTTAGGCTCGAATCGAAGACGACGAGAGCTGTCGTAAGATAAGAAGGAAGAAGGATAAGGAAAGATGGAAATAACTGGAAAAGGATGGGAAGGAGGGGAAGAGGAGGAATCAAGGCAAGCGGCCCAACCACTTTGGGACATGTGGTACCGAAGTACTGGAGGCGTAGATGGAGATTTTTGAGTGATGTCGTTACTTGGCTCTCGAGGAGAGGATGACGAAGGCGGCGGCAGGAGCTGGGAGTGTCTGAAGGCAGCAAGCAGGTTGAGTTGTATTGGTGGTGGTCAGCTTGAGGTGTGTTAAGTTACTATCCCATTAGAAAGAGTCTGGAACTTCTGTATTGGCATGTGCCTGATTCTAAATTTGCAATCTTGGTCGATCTTTGGGGAATTAAGGACATTGATGAGTTCTCTAAGGTAGAGAAAACGTGATGGACAAACGACGTACTTGACTTCTTCACTCTGGAGGAGGGGGATCAATGTCTGTGCATCCATTTCTTTAGGATAATCAGGAGTAGTGTAGAAAGCGAATCCACGTATCTTATTATATTGTTGTTAATCCTTAGAGTAATAGACAGGTGAAGTCGTTGACTGGTCAGTTTCAAGAAGTGTTGAAGGTGGAAGTGTAGATACGTTGTCAACTTCAGTAGACGAATTAGAAGATGTTTCTGGTGGCAAGGCTTCTGATTGGTTGGATTCAGTGAGGAGTGGTGGCGGTGGAGGCTTCTCATTGGACGTTGTTAGAGTGACGTCACTAGTTGGTGGTGTTGATGGACCTGCAGCAGAGGTGGTTATTAAGTCCTCGGTGAATTTGAGAATTTCTTCAGAAGGTGGAGATGCTGGAAATATAAATGATGGCATGTTATTTAATGCAAATAACTCGTTGATGGTAGAGTTAAAGGATCCAGGTACAGCCATGTTCTGCATGTGAGCGTATAGTAGACAATAGTGGATCTTCGTTACGTCACATGTTGGAGGAGTGATGGTGGTGGTGGTGGAGGCGGGCTGAGTAGATGCTTGAAGTAATTTTGTAGTGTCTGCTTGTAACTGTGCAACTGCGGCATACGTTGGTGTGTTGTTAGTAGATTTTTTCTTTGCTTCATCTTGTGTTTTCTTCATAATATCCTTTCTTGTAGGGCATTTTGCTGCCAGTGTATGGTGATCATTACTTTTGCAGTTTAAACACGCTGGTTGTGTTGGAGCAGCAGCGGTGCAGGAACTGAAGGTGTGTCCCTCACTACCACATGTAGTGCAGAACTTCTTGTCTTTTACTGGACATGCTTTGGTGGTGTGAAGATAAGAATAGCAGTTCCAGCAATGTTGGATGTAGTGGTATCTCTCTGCTTCTATGTAGGTGGGACTGATGTAGTAGTAGTAAACAGCAAGACCTTCGTTCAGAGCAGTGGCAGCCATGTTCACGTCGGTAAAGGTGACCTTGAGCATAGACGATGCATTCGGGATTTTGATAATGCTGTCAACAGTAGCCCAAGTATTTTGAGTTTCAATAGATGACTTGAGTTCAGCAATTGGTTGAGAGGTCAAAATCTTATCCAGTTTTTTTAGGAATACTGATTTTCTTGCCCTGAGGGCAGGAGATGATGTAACAGTAAATCTTTGAGCAGTAAGAGTAGTGGTGGCTTCTGCAGTGAGTAACTTCTCTGCTTCAGCATCATCGTGACATACAACAATGAGTGCTTCTTTGAATGTCAGAATAGCGTTGAATTTAACATAAGAACATAAGAACATAAGAAAGAAGGAACACTGCAACAGGCCTACTGACCCATGCGGAGCAGGTCCATGTCCCCCCCGGATTAGACCAATGAACCCCCCCCCCCGGATTAGACCAATGACCCCCCCCCCGGATTAGCCCAATGACCAACCCAGTCTGATCATCTCCACTCAAGGATGGAGCACTGCACCAGACCCAGCAGCATAAGCTAGTCAGGTCCAACTCACACCCACCCACACCCACTCATGTATTTATCTAACTTATTTTTAAAACTACACAACGTTTTAGTCTCAATAACTGTACTCGGGAGTTTGTTCCACTCATCCACAACTCTATTACCAAATCAGTGCTTTCCTAAATCCTTCCTGAATCTGAATTTTTCCAACTTGAAACCATTGCTGCGAGTCCTGTCTTGGCTGGAAATTTTCAGCATGTTATTTACATCCTCTTTATTTATTCCTGTTTTCCATTTATACACCTCGATCATATCCCCCCTAATTCTACGCCATTCGAGAGAGTGCAGATTCAGGGCCTTCAGTCTATCCTCATAGGGAAGATTTCTGATACATGGGATCATCTTTGTCATCCTCCTCTGTACGTTTTCCAGAGCATTTATATCCATTCTGTAATACGGTGACCAGAACTGAGCAGCATAGTCTAAATGAGGCCAAACCAAGGATATACGTATATACAGTTGAAGAACAACCTGAGGACTTCTATTATTTATACTTCTAGATAGGAAGCCAAGAATTCTGTTAGCTTTATTGCGAACACTAATGCACTGTTGTCTTGGTTTTAGATTACTGCTAATCAGAACTCCTAAATCCTTTTCGCACTCAGTAGTATTAAGATCTACATTATTTAGTTTATATGTGGCATGGTTATTTACCTGTCCAACATTTAGAACTTTGCATGTGTCAATATTAAACTGCATCTGCCACTTCTCCGACCATTGCATCAGTCTATTCAAATCATCATGGAGTGCTCTAGTGTCCTCATTAGAATGAATTAGACGGCCTATTTTGGTGTCATCGGCAAATATGCTTATGTCTCTATATATTCCCTCAACTGTGTTGTTTATGTAAATTGTGAACAACAACGGGCCCAACACTGACCCCTGAGGAACACCGCTTGCGACGTGCCCCCATTCTGATTTATCCCCATTTATGCTTCATGACTAATACACATCCGGTTTCAGAACAAGTCCCAGAAACTGATATACATGGAGCGTTTCTTTAATACATATTTTATTATACTGTGGAAAATAATTTCCCAAAATTTATGCTGTGTAAATAAACCTGATTAATACGTTACTATTGTTCTGTTGAGTGCATTTTAAATAAGAGAATCGAGGGAAGCTCTGCGCCTGCGCTGACGAGGAGGGGAGAGTCGCCATTGTTTTGAATGTGTTACAAGTACGCTTGTATAATGTGCTTAATTTTCATCGTTCTAGGGGTTATATTGGGCTTAAAACCTCTCAAATAGGAGCCAAAATTGTTGGAATTGCAGTCCTGCATAACGTAATCATTCAGGCGACTGGACAGGACTCCGTAATTAGATGGAAACAGGATATTACCCCAGCTAAGTGTTGTCAAATTTGTGTTAAATTCTGGCCAGTAATTTTTTCATAAATTTAGACAAGGGGGGAATTCTGTACGTGACACACAGTAATCTCCAGACAAATTGGTGAGTGTTATGATTATAAATTCTCCCTTTGTTATATAAATGTGTATATGTAATCATTTATTAATTTTAATATACAGTCCACAAAATTATAATAATGTTTACCAGAATTCCTGGTGATGTATATTTCATTTGCAATTAATATAGGTCTAGAGCAACTTGTGGAGAAATAGATTATGGTAGGTATTGAAAGGGGACATTTTTTGCGACCTAGGTGTCCTAAAATTCCTACTTGTCTCTGTAACTTTGATAAATAATAATTATCATTGTTACCATTTACTGGTATGTATCTAATGAGATTCATCCAGGTAAATGTAATTTTCCACAAATACACTACATAATATCCCTCCCCTAGACCACTGTTCTCACTCAGCTGTAACCACTCAGCTGTAACCACTCAGCTGTAACCACTCAGTTGTAACCACTCAGCTGTAACCACTCAGCTGTAACCTCTCCGCTGTAACCACTCAGCTGTAACCACTCAGCTGTAACCACTCAGCTGTAACCACTCAGCTGTAACCACTCAGCTGTAACCACTCAGCTGTAACCACTCAGCTGTAACCTCTCCGCTGTAACCACTCAGCTGTAACCACTCAGTTGTAACCACTCAGCTGTAACCACTCAGCTGTAACCTCTCCGCTGTAACCACTCAGCTGTAACCACTCAGCTGTAACCACTCAGCTGTAACCACTCAGCTGTAACCAATCAGCTGTAACCACTCAGCTGTAACCACTCAGCTGTAACCACTCAGCTGTAACCACTCAGCTGCAGTTAGTCAAGGAATAAAAACGGGAAATTAACCTTAGTTCTGGGGAAACACAAAATTCATCAAAAATAAGAACACTGCATCAAGCACTGTCTTGGTGCAATTTACTTTTACATAGAAAAACACAATAAACATTTGATATAAAAGTGATCAGGTTTTACTACAAATGAGCCACAGTCATGTTTTATAGTTGTACTCTTAAATATAACAGGAAAATGAACCATCACAACTCTGTGTTAGTCCAACACCTACGTTGATGCATTTTCTATACATGACATTATTTTTTTTTTTATTCGCCGGTATTCTCCCGGC